TTTCTCGTTATATATCTAATTATCTTTATGATTTAACATTTCATTTTTCGTTATATATTAATTATCTTTATAAATAAATATATTATATTCTCAGGAATTTGGTTTTATCTCTCTAGAGAACCCTGTCTAACACAGTGACCAATCTCCGTTTTTGATAGAATAATATTGTTAGGATTCGCTATGCACACTTGCAGTGTGTAAAGAAGTCAGCAACCAGAACCACCGAGTATTAAGGGCAAAGAGCTCTTATGGAATAGTGTGTGTGTGTGTGTGTGGCATTGTCAGTGGGTGGGGAGAGCCTTATGGTAGAACGCAGTGAGGAAAGATCTACCCACATGGTTCTATCGCGGTTGCTTCTATGCGCCCCAGCCTGCACCTCTGCTTCCGATGCTCCATCATTATTTTATGAAGAAGTGGGACGGTTCTTCCAAATGTGTCTCCCTCACCCTTTAGGTGCCCTTTCTTGTACACTTAAAAAACTCTCAGAAACCATAAAATTATCTGTTGTAGAATGTCCAATTCAATGGATTTTAGTATAGTGACAAGGCTGTACAACCATCACCACCGTCTAACCCCAGAACTTTTCAATCATCCCACAAGGAAACCCATGTGACCACATAACTCCCCCTTTCCCTCTCTCCCTAGGCCCTGGCACCCACCAATTCACTTTCTGTTTCATCTGAATACAAGCTTACAATATGCACAATTTAACTTGGCGTAATATCTTCAAAATCCATCTGTGTTGCAGACTGTATTAGATGGCTAACAGCCCAGTGAATGGATATACTACAATTTGGTTAGCCATTCATCAACTGATAGATATTTGATTTGTTTCCGCTTTGGGGTGATTATGAATTGCGGTGCTCTGAATATTTGTGTGCAATTTTTGTGTCAATACATGTTTTCAATTCTCCTGGGTATATAGCTAAGAGTCAAGTGACTGGGTCATAAAGTCTATCCTGAGAGATTACGAGAACTACTGTTTTTTTTTTTTTAAACAGCTGCACTCTTTCGTATTCTCTCCAGCAGTGTATGAGGCGTCTAATTTCTCCACCTCCTTGCCAACACTTGTTATTGTTTGTCTTTTTGATATTTGCCATCCTAGGGGGTCTGAAGGTCCCTGTGTGGTACAGGTGGTCTGTGCTTGATGACGAGCCTAAAGATTGGTGTTTGGAACCCAGCTCTCAGCCAGCTCTGAGGGAGGAAGTTGGGGCTTTTTAATGCCCCAGAATTACAGTCTCGGAGAATCAGGGGCAGCTCGGTGGAGGAAAGGCCTGGCACAGAAATCTGCTCCCATGGAGACCCAAGGCAAGAAAACCCTATGGTACTGTTTGCTGTTCACTCCGGCAACAGAGGGCGTCACTGTGCGCTATTCACTCCATGGCAACGGCATTAGTGGATACGGAGTGGCATTTGTGACTTTGATTCGTGTGTCCCTGATGGCTAATGATGTTGAACATTCTTTTCACATGTCTGTTGGTCATTTGCCTACCTTTTTGTGAGAAAGAGCCACTCATCCTTTGCCCATGTTAACGTGAGTTGTTTTCTAATAACTGGGTTTAAGAGTTACTCATATGTTCCGGATGCTGACTCTTATCACACATGATTTGCAAATACTTTCTTTCATGAAGGAGCCCTGATGGTGTAGTGGTTGCGCGTTGGGCTGCTAACCACAAGGTCAGCAGTGTGAAACCACCAGCCAGCTCTGAGTGAGAAAGATGGGGCTTTTTAATCCCCTAGGGCAGGGGTTCTCCACCTTCCTATGCTGCGACCCTTTCATACAGTTCCTCATGTGGTGGTGACCCCCAACCATAACATTATTTTTGTTGTTACTTCATCACTGTCATTTTGCTACTGTCATGAATCAGGCAACCCCTGTGAAAGGGGTATTTGACCCCCAAACGGGTTGCAACCCACAGATTGAGAACCGCTGCACTAGTTACAGTCTCGGAAAATCAGGGCACTTCTGCCCTGCTCTATAGGGTTGCTACGAGTCAAACTTGACTTGATGCGGGTTGTTTTTGTTTTGTTCTTTCATTACAAAAAAAGAAAAAGAAAAACCTTTGTTTTAGGTCTGACCTTAGTAAGCCCTACGTGGTAAACCTGGTTAAGCCCTGCACTGAGAGAACAGCAGCGACAGGGGCCAGGAGACTCAGCGGCAGCAGCTAACCAGTAGAGAAGCGCAGAGCACTGGAGCTGGGAGGGAGTGTGGAGCTCCTTGATCGCTTCATTTGCGAGGGAAACTCAGGGGCCCACGGCTAGGCACGGCGTTACAGGCAGGGTTGGAACTAGACCCTTGGTCTCTTTTAACGCACTTCATAATCGATGGATCAATTTGATACCAAAACAAAGATGGAACGTACAAGAAGAAACAACGGAGATGAAACTGAATTTGGGGTCTTCATTTGGGACACATGAAGTTGGAGAAGTGCTACAATTCACAGAAGCCATAACTAGGGTTTTGTTATTGAGGGGGATTTATTGAAGGCCAACTATACACAGATCAGCACTGTGCTAAACTGTAAGGGAACCCCAAAACAACAAAACCCCAGGACATGATGGTATCTGACCCTAAGAAGGTCTAGTGCAGAGGTTCTCAACCTGTGGATCACGACCCTTTTGGGGGTCGAATGACCCTTAAACAGGGGTCACCTGATTCATAACAGTAGCAAAATGACAGTGATGAAGTAGCAACAAAAATAATTTTTTGGTTGGGTGTTGGGGGTGGGGGTGGGGGTGCACCGCTCACCACAACATGAGGAACTGTATTAAAGAGTCTCGGGATTAGGAAGGTTGAGAACCGCTGCTCTAGTAGGAAAGACAGAGACCATGAAACGGTCATAGACCGATGTGAGGGCTGTAATAGTTCTACAAGAGCTTGTGGAAGTTACCTAATCAGTTTCAAGCAGTTTGCTCATATAATTTGACAGACTCAACTCATACTTTTAAAAAGTTAACACCTAACCTTTTTCCATCGTTCATTGAGGAGTTGCAAAAGGTGCAATTTCAGGCACATTATAAGTAAAAGCATTTTAAGATAAAATGAAATTTGGTACCCATGATAATCCATCAAAAACAAATAAAACAAACTATATAATAAGTCCTTGTTTAAAACAGAAAATGTTAACACCATCCCCTTTTCCCTTTGATCTTTTTTCAAGCCAGTTCAAGCACCTAAGTTTTAAAGTGATTCACGACCCTCTCCTGACCCATCCCAGACCACACCTGGGCACGGTCCCTTCCAACTCACCCCACACTACCCGCCTCCAGGACACAGGGCCTTTGAAACGTTCCTGGAGCAATGGAAGGAAAAGGTTCCCAAGTTTTGCCACGCTTGTCTGAAGCCTCCTTGTATATATTGAGATGGTATCAATGATGACTAAGTCATGAAAATTTACTAAAATTTGTATCAATAACTTATTTTGGGGGAGTACTATGCGTTCAAACCCACCAGCTGCTCCTTGGGAGAAAGATGAGGCTGTCTGCTCCTATAAAGATTTACAATCTAGGAAACTCTACTAGTTTTCCAAAGTAGGGGTTGCTAAAGAGATCCAAAGCCAACCCCCAACTCACTGCTATTGTATCCATTTGGACCCACAGTGACCCTATAGGGCAGCATAGAACTGCCCCTGTGCATTTTGGAGTTTGTAACTCTTTATGGGAGTGGGAGGCCTCATTTCTTTCCCATGGAATGATCCAGGGGGGCTGGAAAAGCAGAAACCTACATTTTATTCTGGATTAGGGGCTATAGTACAAAAGGTTTTAATTGCCATATGGCTGCTGGGCACTTTTTTTTTAATTGAAGAGGGGGCAGTAGGCCGAATAACATGCTGTACAGTGTGGCTCTGATTGGAATCAACTCAGTGGTAATGGGTTTGGGTTTCCACTCTCCACAAGCTAGCTGAACTGAATTCATCAGGAAGCATACTATTGCAGTTTGGAAGATCCAACATAGCTATGCTCCTTTAATGATTACTGTATACCACGGCAAAATAACAACATGGCTAACCGCACAGGCTCTCAGCTCTGTCATCTGATAGCTATGTGACCTTGGGGACCTCTCTCTGACTCAGTTCCCTCATCTGTAAAATGGGGATACTAACAATACCTGTCTCAATCAGAGACCTCATTGAGCTAATGCGAGTCAAAAAGGTGTCAAGCATATAGTGAGTATTCAATAGATATGAGCTAATAAGAGGAGCAAAGTGTACTCAGATTTCTTTTAAAGTGAGCCACACTATACTATTCTAGTATGTTGAGCACAACGTTGCCATGAATCAGGAATGACTCCATAGCTCCTAATAGCAACAGTAAAATATGATATGTTATACTTTTCAAAAAAGGATTTCTTTATTAAACAAAACTGTTGTTTACATTTATGAGAACTCTCTTTGCAATACACGTTCTTTAAGTGGCTAACATCTTCATTATTTCCAAAATGGGTATTTTGTAAAAAGCTTAGTTTTACTCACGGATTTAGAAGGTGCAGGCTTCAGGCAAATATTGTTGGCTTTTAGATAAGGCCTACAAAAGAAAAAAATACAATTAATCCTTAGAACAGAAGATTCAACAAGGCTTGGGAAGTATGGTGATTAAAATGATTATAATTATAATTTTAAATTATTAGAATGTCTGTATAGGATAACATAATTCAAAACTATATTTACTCAAAAGTCTCCTTATCATCTCTCTCCTGGTCCTGCTATTTCCTTCCTCAGAGACCACAACTGCTATTAGCCATTCTTCTTGGGGTGTGTGTGTGTGTGTGTGTAATCCTTCCAGCTATATCCTATGCATAAATATAGCATTCTAAAAATATTTGTGAAATGTTTTAATCATATTTACATAGTCTTCTTCATTCAGTCATCAACCCTGGAATCAGGCACAATGTTTAATAAAATAGTTTACTGCTTATTAAAAAGAAATTCTTTGGTATCTGTATCTTCAAACAGTAAACTTTCAGGGAGAAACTGATATAATTAAAAGCCAAGAGCATACATGGCCTTTGAGTTGATTGCAGCGTAGAGTGGCCCTTCAGGAGAGAAGGGAGGTGCTCCTCAGGGTTTCTGAGTGAGGCTGGGAAGCTGTAAGGAAGCAGAGGGCCTCATCTTCCTCCGGCCAAGTGACAGGTGGGTTTGAACTGTCCATCTCTCGGTTAGCAGCCCAACAACACTCAACCCACTGTGCTACCAGGGGACCCTAACAACCCAAAGATACCTATGAAATCCAGTTAGTGAGACATAAATGCAAACAAGGGCTTAAAAAACAAGTAGAGAAAAATACAAAAAGATTCCATTTCTTTTAAAAAAAAATCATTTTATTAGGGGCTCATACAACTCTTCTCACAATCCATACGTATATCAATTGTGTAAAGCACATGTGTACATTCATTGCCCTCATCATTCTCAAAACATTTGCTCTCCACTTAAGCCCCTGGCATCAGCTCCT